CAGGAGGGTGAGACAGGCTAATGGCAAGTTAAATACCAGCCTGGGCTACATAGCAAGACCATGTCTCAAAACAACAGAAACAACAGATAAAAGAAAAAGGAACGAAAAGAAAATATACTCAATATCAATATTTATTAAGAAAGTTCAAATTAAAACCACAATGAGTGCCGGGCACAAGTGGCTCACACCTGTAATCATAGCAACTTGGGAGGTTGAGATTGGGAGGATCAAGGTTAGAGGCCAGTCCAAGCAAAAAGTTCTCAAAACCTCATCTCAACCAATAACTGGGCACAGTGGTACATGCCTGTCGTCTCAGCTATATGGAGGCTAAGATCAGGAGAACTTCAGTTCAGGGCCAGCCTGGGCAAAAAACTTCACAAGACCCTATCTGGACAGAAAAAGCTGGGTATGATAGTGCATGCCTATCATCCCAGCTATGGCAGGAAATGTAAGTAAGAGGATGGTGGTCTAGGTTTGCCAGGGGCAAAAAGCAAGACCCTATCTCAAAAATAACCAGAGCAAAAAGGGCTAGAGGCATAGCTCAAGTGGTAGAGCACCTGCCTGGTGTATATGTGATCCTGAGTTCAAACCTCAGTACTGCCAAAAAAATTCACTTATCCTTTAACTTTAGAAAGGCTACTGAATTTATGTTCTCATATTATGCTGAACATCAAAAAGCATTACTGGGGCTGGAAGAGTGGCTCAAATGGTAGAACACTTGCCTAGCAAGTGTGAGGCCCCGAGTTCAAGCCTCAGTACTACCAAAAAAATAAAGTTAAAAGTGTTACTGAAATAGAACATGTTAGGTAAAACACTGCATATTTCAGTGATTTCAAAAGTCTAAATTTTAACATAGGCAAAGTATTTTTATGTTAAAACATGTAAGCAGAAAGAATTGCTTACTTTTAGAGAACATAAGTCAATAAAGATAGTATATTTAATAAGTTAGACAAATACAACAATACCAAGTGCCAGTGAGGATGCAGAGCTATCCTCATTCACTGTGGGGCCCTAGCTCTACTCTGGTTAGTACTTCTACTCTCTGAATTTTAGTTTGCCCATCTGTGAAGTAAAAGGGTTGTCTTAAGGTTCTATGAATCAAACACATCTTTTAGGAAGAAAAGTGGAAATATATTACAAAATATTTAATTCAGCTCTCTTTTGGGATTACAGCTTAAGGAAGACATATATCCTTGACTGTCGCTACCAGAATCATTGCTTTTGAAACTCAGAAACCAAGTAGATTTGATAGTGATGATTTTTTTTTTTTTTGGCAGTACTGAGGTTTAAACTCAGTGCTTTATATTTGCTAGGCAGGTGCTCTACCATTTGAGCCACACCTTCAAGTCCCATATATAACTTTTTGGGGGGCAATACTGGGGTTTGAACTCAGGGCTTCATGCTTACAAGGCAGGCACTCTACCATTTGAGCCACACCTCCAGCATACATAACATTTTTGAATGACAAGATTATACAGATGGAGAACAGACTAGTGATTACCTGTGGTTAAGAATGGGGAAGGGGAGAATACTGAGTGTAATTATAAAGAGCACAAAGGATCTTTGTGCTAATCAAAAAGTTCCGATATTGTGATAATAGTTGAATAAATCTTGTGATAGAATTGCATAAGCCTATACATGATACACACACATGCACACACAAGGATTGCATATAAAACAGGGCTGTGATTGTAACTATGCTAATTTGTTGGTGTTGGTATTTTATTATAGTTATAGAAGATGTTGCTGTTGGGGAAAACTGGGCAAACAGTACAAGAGACATCTCTGCACTATTTCTAAATTAGCTTTTTTTGATACAAGGTCTTGCTATATAGCCCAGGCTGATCTAGGATTCTCCATCTTCCTGCATCTACCTCCTGAGTGCTGGGATTATAGGCTCGTACCACCACACCAGGAAAATACAAAGCTTTTAAAAAAAAATATGTCCAGGCTTCTTTTCTATGTCCGTTGTTCTTCTTTTCCTGAACAACCAATGTACCATCAAAAGACACCAAAGGTTCTGAAAACATCTCAGAATAATGTTAGAGTTCTTCCTTCACAAGGATGGCCTGCAATTCATGCTTGTCCTTTTTTCTTTAATCAATCCTGAGGGTTTACTAGGAGTCAAGACTTGCATTGGAAGTAAGTGATAGGAGATGAATGATTTATGATTCTTTCCCAAGTGAGCTCTCAAACTAATGATAATTTAAAAGGTCCAATATGATATTGGCATAGAAGTCAGAAGATTTCTGTCCTTTTTGAACTACTTACTAGATTTTTGAGGTTGATCCAAGACATCATCTTTTGGTGTGTTGGCATCTTAATCTGCAAAATTCAGGAGAACAGGACATTTATATATATTTTAAACTTATCCCGGGGCCTCTGAATGGACTCAAGGATATAGGCAAATTACCTGAAATTGTATGCAGAATATAACTAAATCTCCTTTCTAGGAAGAAGTATAATTTTTTTCAGATTCTATGCTTACTGATCAATAAATGGTTTAGAACAACTGAATTGGAGCTTTGGATTGACTTTCTAATGCCCCTTCCATTCTAACAATCTATGATTCTTACAAATCTCTGAGATTCTTCCTTCTATCTCTAATAGTCCATAGTCCATGATTCCAATAAAGATAGAAGAAATGGATTAGAAAAAAGAGAAAAAAAAAGACAGAAACCAAAGAAAAATAAATTTTAAAAACAGAAATGGGCTAGAGACCTAACATTCCATGATTCCAAGAACGATAAGACTTCATTCCCTTTCCCAACAGGATAAGGACTAAATTTTAAACACGGAATGCTTGTGATCTTTGTGATTTACCCTCCCACCAACACTCCAACCTCATCTCTCATGCTTTCTCCAGATCTCAACCACACCCCCATGTAGCCTGCAGTGTATGTAACATTTTGGTTCCACTCACATATGCCTTTATACAGGCAGTATCTTCTACAAAATTTCCTGGGGGAATGGCCCCACATTCTACCATTTTTCTTTGAGTCTCAGCTTAAAGATCCCTTCCCCAGTGAAGCCATTCATGACCTTTCGCCCTTGCAGCAGTATGGTGTGCTTCCTTAGTGCTGAAAACTGCCTGTTACCACACAAGGAATGGGTCTGTTGGTTCACTTGGGTTGGCAAACTCAAATGGAAAGGTGCCAGGCAGGGGAAGGTTTGAAGCCAATAGGTATAATAAACACTAGGTCCCTGTTTTCCCACCTGTGAAAAGAAAATAAAGAAAAACACCACCCTTAAGTAAAATAACTCGAGAGCAATAGTAAATACAAGCAATATTCTGTTTCAGAAAAAAGGCAGTAGTAGTGATTGAGGCTAACTGGAACAGAGTATCCTGGGTGAAGGGAGAAGTCTCTATCAGCTTCAACCGACTGTTGACTAGCAGGAAGGTGGATTCAGGGTGACCAGCTCTTCCGCTTTTTTAAAAAAAAAAAAGCTGAGTCCAGATTTGTATGCGAAATCTCCCAACATGTTAGCAACTAAAACCATGGAAAACCCAGTGTGATGACTTTCACAGTTTCCCAAATTGTTCCATGGGAATCTAGTTCTAATCATTCTTGGACATCTCATCCAAGAGAGACATCCTATGGGATGGACAACTTTCTTTTTGGAAGTGGGGGCACCGGTGTGTTGATAGTTGTTTAATACACCCATCTATCCTGCACAGAGCTCAAAAGAACTGCACAGGTCATCCAAAACCTTCCATATGGGGCCCCTGTCCTTTTCTGAGCCTAAGTTTCCCTTTGTGTAGAGATACAAAACCTTTTTTGTGAGTCAGCTGTCAAGTAGAACATAATAGCATTTACCAAAAGGCTGTCAGAACTACACACTTTCACCTGCATAATCTCTCTGACTCTATGAGGTAATTTCTCTTACATTCAGATTTCCTATTTCACAGAGATGGTAGTAATGCACCTAATGCAAACAACAAACATTTTTCAAACCCTTTTTGCCCCAGGGCTTTATTTAATCCAACAACTCTGAGGTAGGTACCATCATTGCTAGGATCAGTAAGTAAAGCAAAGAAACCCTGCAAAGGGGATTCCACCAAGGCAATCTGACTCCAACACTCCAACCCAGAGCTGTTCAACAAAAATATACTATAAACTCGATGTGTAATTTAAATTTTGCTGGTAGCCACACTTGAAAAGTAAAGACACAGGTGAAATTACATTTAATAATAGTTTATTTGACCTATGTGCAAAATAAATATTATACTCCAACATGTAATCAACATAAAATTATTCAGTCTTTTACATAATTCTTTTCCTACAAAGACTCGGTAGGGTCTCACATTACTGAACATCTCAATTCAGACTTACATTTCAAAGGCTTAGTAAACACCCGTGGCTAACGGTCACCACACGGGGCAACGTATTCACAGTCTATTTACTAATCCTAAAGTTAAAAGCCAAATCCACAGAGCCATCTGCTCATTAGCTGCAGAACACGTGCAAAAAAAAAAAGGTGGTATAAGCTATTGGGCATTTACTTTGTGCCAGACACAATGTGTTAAAGAGCGTACCCACGTTATTTTGTCGTCTTGAAATAAGGTGGGTGCTACTACCCTTTGCATTTGACCAGGTGAGAGAACAATCGTAAACTGGGCTCTCCTCCAGGCGGGGCTCCACCCTCATCATTTATCCAAGGGCTGTCAGAGCCAGAGGGTGCGACCTTAGCCATTCGGCAGAGGTCCCGCGACTTGAAGTCTACCTCGTGACCTTTGGGCTCCTGCATCAACTGCTCCTCCTCCTCATCTTCCTCCTCCTCCTCGTCCTCGGACGCCGCCGACTCCGACGCTAACTTTGACTCTGGCTCCTGCTCCTCGAACCCGCGCTCGGTGGCGCCACCATCAAGATTGTGCAGCTGCGCGTCGACATCTGCAAGATCCACCACTGCAGGAGCCGCAGCCTCCTCACGGGACCCGCCGACGCTAGGGGGAGCTGCTTCCGGGGGCCGGGGTTCGGCTTCCGGGAGCTCGCGCTCACTTCTGATCATAGAGAAGCCAGCGGAGACGCCCACTTCCGGCCGTTCGGAGTGCTTCGCGGTTACAGGTAAGCAGCACGCGCCCTCGGTCCGCCCGGAGTCCGCCCCCCGCCGGGGTCGCTCGGGCTCTGCCCCTTAGCGGGAAACGTCTCCCTCCTCGCCCCGCCCCCGCGCAGACGCAGTGCTGAGCCCATAGTTGCAACACAAAGAGTGACGCCGGGAGCCCGAGTCATGGCAGCGACTGAGCCAAGCCTGGCGGCCACCGACGACTCCGCGACAGTGCCGTCGGAGCGGCAGGAGGGAGCTGGCCCGAGCTCATACCCCGAGCCTAATAAGGCGATCTCCTCGAATCCTGAGGCCCCTTCGCCTGCCCCCGAGTCCTCCAGCCCCAGCGCCGCGGCCCCGGAAGCGCATCGTTCGCCCCCCGCGGCGCCTTCCGCGGCCCTGGAGCTACCTCTTGCGCCCGCACCCCTGGGCTCCACGCCTCAAGCCGGAGCCGGCCAGCGCTCCCCCGCAGGCGCGGGCGGCTCCCGGCCCGGCCCCGAGACGTTCCGCCAGCGTTTCCGGCAGTTTCGCTACCAGGATGCGGCGGGCCCCCGGGAGGCGTTCCGGCAGTTGCGGGAGCTTTCCCGCCAGTGGCTGCGGCCCGACATCCGCACGAAGGAGCAGATGGTGGAGATGCTGGTGCAGGAGCAGCTACTGGCCATCCTGCCCGAGGCGGCGCGGGTCCGGAGGGTCCGACGCCGCGCGGACGTGCGCATCACCGGCTGAGCTGCCGAGCCCGGCGCTCTCCGGACTGGGGCCATGGTGGATCCGGGAGCCGGAGCCTGGCTCCCCACCCGGTATTAATGAAAAACGAGTTTTGACAGTTCCTGTGGTCTGCTGTGTCTTTTTCGTTCGTCCTTTATTGGGTTTATTTACCAAGCTTACTTCCCACCTTTTCTAGTTGATGGCCAGAGTAAATTGGGAGCGCAAGAGAATGACGCCTTTACTTGCTGTTTTTGGCTATTATGAGATCCTTAAATGTTGGTTACACCTGGGCTGCCCCTCCACACCTGCGAAGTTTTTCTGAACCTGGACTCACAAGGACACACCTGGGTTTTCTCTAAATGAAGGGCTATGTCACGAAGAGTCCAGCAGTCTTGAGTTCCATGCCACCCTACCTCTTACTAGCTAGTATCTCAGCTTGTTTTCCTACCTGCGAAGGTAAGATGATAGTGATTTGTGGTTGTGGGATTCCTGCAGGCGAAATAGGTGGCTGTATTGAATGCTCACTTAACTGGCTACCTCTATACAAATACAGCTTTTTGTATTTGTAACAACTTGCTCCACCTGCCCTTTGGGCACAGGCTTCCCAAAAGCCCCACATTATTGGGCTATTTTAATATGAAATGTTTTACTGTTTGCCACCTCACAAACTATGTCTTGTTTGTGAGCTCTTGCTTATGCCTCTAGACTTGCTCACCTCCTTCCTTGGGAAATTTTGGACCTGTGGTAGGAATTAAAAAGCAAAACTGATGTTTTTACTGAGGAAAAACCTAAATAAACCTTTCTTTCTCTCCAACACTTGTCTCCCGGACATTGGTTTCTCTGTGGAATGAGCTTGGAGGTAACAGTGTGAACCAATGGGTTATTTACAATAGTGAAGCTATTTTAATGTCTCCAGTGGTGTTTCTTCCTCCTTCCCCCTTTAAAACCAGCGTAATTACTTAGGGAAGAATTTGGCAAGTAATGAAGATGATATACTATGAAATCTCAAAGCCCTGCTCTTCCTTGAGGCTTCTGCACATCCAGAGAAGAGCTAGGTGGGGTCCATAAACAGTTCAGGTTGGTCCCAGAACATCCCAGTGAGGCTAGGTGTCATCTCTTAAAATAAGGAAAGCCATGCTGGGGGTGTGTTTTAAGTGGTAGAGTACTTGCCTAGCATGTGCAAGCCCCTGGGTCCCATCCCCCTTACTGTCAGAAAGTCTTAATTTCTTGTTCTGCTTTTATTCTGGGTGAGAAAAGACACTGGAATTTTAAGGAATGCCAGGCCTATCTTCTTTGCATTGCTTTCAGCAATAAACCTAAAACTTCTACCATAATGCATGAGCCAGACTGAGCTCATGGCCATTTTGCTTTTGAATATTAAAAACAATTACAAAGTATTTTCTAGGTAGAATTTGCATCTGCCTCCCTCCAAAAGATGTTTTTTTTAAAAAATAAAAGGTTTCCTTTAAGAGGTAATGGTTGCAAAAGCATAATATAAAAAATAGGGTAAATAACTTTTACCCTATTTTACATAGTGGCTTGTAATCCTAGCACTTGGAAGGCTGAGGCAGGAGGATTGTAAACTGGAAGCCAGCCTTGGGTTACATTTTGAGTTCAAGGCCTGTCTTACATTGTGATACCCTATCTCAAAAAACAAAGAGGCAGAGATCCTATAGTTCCGAAGACCCTATCTCAAAAATACCCAACATGAAAACAGGACTGGCTGAGTGGCTCAAGTGGCAGACCCCTATCTAGCAAGTATGAGGCCCTGAGTTCAAACTCCAGCACTACCAAAGGAAAAATAACACCTTGTGTTTTAGTAATGTATGACTGAAACATAGCAACAAGAACCTGTTTTATTTTTGCCAAATATAGATACAGAAGTTTGTATGTTTTGCAAATATTGCTTCAAGGCAACATTTCTATATATAGTGCCTTCTGTTCTATATAGCCTGTGTTCTAATAGCGCGTAAACAGATTTGTATCCACAGTGCAATGTTGGCTCATCAAGGATCCACCTTGAATACACTCATCACTTAAAGAAGCAAAATGATTAGTCAAACCAGAACTGTTTTGTCAAGACAATTTTTATAGGTGGATAGTTTTTCTCGAAAGACAAAACTTAGGTAGTGCACATATTTCTAAATGATATCAGCATTGTTTGCAAATAACAGTTTCCAGTGCTCCAACTTGGGGTTAACTCACCTTGACCCAGGAACTGGGACTGGAGCCCCTCAACATGGCTTTAAATTAGGGAAGCACAGAGGTTATCAGAATGTGAGGAGTCTTCTGTGCTTCCCTAAGAACAAAAGTCACAATGAGTAAGACCGGATTATTTCCTTCGCAAAACCTTAAGGATAAAAATCCAGTAATGGCCACTTGGCAAAATTAGGATCAGTTTCTGTTTCTATCTTTCAACAAGACATGAAACTGACTACCTTAAACATTTCCATTTCCCCAAATGTGATATTAAATGTAGTTTCAGAAAAGAAAAATCAATAATCTTAATACAACAATAATACCTCACAGTTGGCTATAGAAAATCATCCTTTTTCTTCTCTTTTCAGATAAGCATCATGAAATTCTTATAATGCAGCTGTCTAATAAATTAACCAGAACATAAATGCCATGCAGATTCCTTACAGGTTTCTTCCCACATCAGAAACATCAATATTAACAGTGGGAATCAGCCTCTGAAGAGGAATTGTGTTGGCTTCATTACAGATGTTACAGCTGCATGTACTTGCTCTGATGGAGAAGCTATGCCAAGTCAATTTATACTTTTGTAAATCATTGTATCAAATTAACAAGTCACTAGACAAAGCATTCCCTGAAATGGATCTTAGTACAGAGGTCTGAATTCATGACCACAATGACCTGTGCCTTAAGCCTAACCATCCCTAAGGTCACTGAAGATACCGTCATTGCTATTGAGATACTGGCTACTTCACTTTTACATAGTAAATATTTGCAGCATATAACATTACAGATTCATAAACCCATAATTAACTTGTGTTAATGGATAACTGTGCTTTGACGTTTTTGCCTTTAGTGATAATGAAACTAGTAAAATGGGCCACCCTTCAAAGCATGGAACATTTTCTTTAACTTTGTCTAGTTTAAAAAAAAAAAAACAATATAGCAATTACACGTGGAACTGTAACCTAAAAAGTAACACAAATATTGTCTCAGAAGGTACAAATAGGTTGTACCTGGACCTTAAGCAGCATAATCACCTTGATCTCACAAAGTAATACAAACAGGAAGTTTAAATTGTTAAAAGTATATTAGCAATTCTGAAAATGTCAACTACTAAACGTAACCTTCAGGGAAGGAGGAAAGCGGCACTGAAGTTTGTTGAAAACAATATAAAATAATTCCCTAAACCACATTCTTTGTAACATTTTTATAGTGAAAGAGTTTGAAATTTTGGAAAACATTTTTTGAGGGCTTTAAATAGAACTGGGAAGCTGTCAATATTAAGAATTGGTAGAAAATGCTGTCCTTTGGGTTCCAGACCCTGCCTGCTTCAGTTTGGAATTCCTTCTAGATTCTTATTACAGCAAGATTCTAGCTCCTCCACCAGCTGAATGGGCTCTGCAACAAAAGCTACACCCAGCCAATTCTGAGGTGAAAAGCATACAAAACTTGTCCACGGTACCATGAATTCATGCAAGAGATATGCTGTGAAAAGTGATGAGTCCTAAGAAGAAGGCAGGGCAGTTGAGGCCTCTGCTCCTTCCCCATGTCCACAGCTCTGTGGAGCTGTCCCAACATTCCTCTGAAGCTGGAAAATGAAAATGATGCCTGCTGCCTAAACACCAGGCCAGGCAGAAACCAGAAGGGTTGGCATGTGCTCCAACTTGACTGGAAAGTTAATTAAATAAAATGGAAATTGAATTTACAACTGTTTCCAACTAAACTTTTTTGGCTCTCATTCCATTTACCATCAGTGGCACGATTTCAAGTGAAGTTTGTGCAAAGATCCTCTTCATTCAATGATGTGCACAGAAGAAGGGAATCCCGAGACTCCATTTGTTGCCTTCTTGGTCAGCTTCCAGAGATCAGTGTGCCCTGTTCTCAGCAGCCAAAATGGCCTCTTTGTTCAATATCCACCACACTCCTGGCCAGATCCCTGAAGTCGGTATCACGTGCATTCGGCATGCTAGGTTTATTTATTTAAATATGCAAAGCTCCTCCTGCAGGTGCCCCAGGATTGTGCCCCCGTTAGTCTTAGGTGCCCAATTTCATGTTGAGCAGCAGAGGGCAATCTGCTGCACCTTGCCCAGGTCCGTCAGCAGCTGCTTGATGCAATGCTTGAGCTGTGGCAACCTGGCCAGTGGCTCCGGGGGCTCCAGTTCCCCAGTGTAGTCCAGCCAGCTCTCCAACACTGTCAGCAGAAGAGAAAGATAAGACCTAGTGAGGACCCAACACTCATTTTATAAGCACCTCAGCAAATGTTTCAGCCCATCTAGTCTGACCACATGGGGGAGGGAAGGAAGGAAGGGCCATTTCAGCCCATTGCCTCAACACCTGCTGCATGAAGCGTTACTCCTGTACAAAGGTCAAATGCTGCTATAGTTTGAATATGCAATGTTCCCCACAGGCTTATATGTTGAACATCTGAGCCCTAGCTGGTGGAAATGATGGGAGGTGAGTCCTAGCTGGAAGTAGAGATAGTAGAGATCACTGGGGGCATATATTGCCCTAGGTTACTTGGTCTAGGGTTCCTTCCTTCCTTCCTTCCTCTCTCTCTCTCTCTCTCTCTCCCTCCCTCACTCCCTCTCCTTCTCTTCCTCCCTCCCTCTCTCTACTTGCTGTCTGCCAGAGATGAACAGCCTCTGCCATACACTTCTCCAGCACCATGTTCTGCCCAAGTTCATGGGGCCAAAGGATCATGGACTAAGCCCTCTGAAACCATGAGCCAAAATAAATCCTTCCTCCCTTAAGTTATTTCTGTCAGGTATTTGGTCACAAGGACCATAAAGTTAATACAAAAAGACCTATGTCCATGCTGCCCAATACAGAAGCAACAGCCATATCATATGAAGCTGTTGACCACTTAAAATGTAGAAATGAATTTTTAATTTTATTCAATTTTAATTAATAGCCACACACTGCTAATTGCTATTGCATTACATAGTGCAGAGTCTAGAAGGCTTTGAAGAACCTGCCTTTCTCAGTGTTGCACTGCCCACTATTTCTAAAGCTTTCCCATGCTGTAAATCAAAGAGCCTGGAGTTTTTAGCCTCAAGTCAAGAAAAATGAAAATTACAGGGACTTGAAAAGGTCCATTTCTATCACTCTGGATTCTGATTTGCTTCATATTAACTCCTGATAGATACGTAATTATCAGTGGCACTGAATATTATTTTTCTCCTCTCAAGTATTTGTTATATCTAGATATTAATACACTTGATTATACTTGGCTCAATATGTAGAAAACTGTTGCTTGTGAGTGCAGGGATTTCTTTACAGAAGATGTTTATTCTTCTCCAAACTACCCTCCCCTGAAGTTCTGTCATTTGCAGAATGACCATCTGGGAACCCTGTACCTTTGACAAATGTCAGTCCCTCTAGGTAGACCCTAAGCTTACCTCAGCTTACCTGTATCCTTTCTTCTAGTCCATGTACCTCTGGACCCTGGTATGTAGAAAACTAATAATGCATGTTCCTCAAGCAGCCTGCCACCTACTACATATCCCTTTTCTCCTCAGACAAACTCTTCCTTCCTCTCCACCCTTTTAAGTCCTTTGTTCTCCTACAAGTTATTCCTTAGGGATGCCTTCCCCAAACTCTATACCCTGAATCTGGTCCCAGTGTTATGGGTGCAATGGCATTGCATGCTATCTATCACATGCTGTCTTAGGGCACTTATGATGGTTTGTAATTATACTTGATGGAATGATGTCTTTTTTTGCCTTTTTTTTTTTTTTCCTGGCAGTGCTGGAGGTTGAACCTTGAGTCCATTTATTTATTTATTTATTTATTTATTTATTTTGAGACAAACTAACTTTGCACAGCCTGGCCTCACAATCTTCCTGTCTCCACCATACCCAGCTTAATGGGATGATTTCATTAATACCCTGTCATCTACAGAACTAAAGATCTGAAATGAACTGAAGATCTGACTCCCTAAAAAGAGACTCTGATGAGGGCAAGCAGAGTGGCTCAAGTGGTGAAGCACCTGCCTAGCAAGCTCGAGACCCTGAGTTTAAACTCCAGTATGGCCAATAAAAAAAGGAGGGGAATCCTAGCTACTCAGGAAGCAGAGATCAGGAGGATCACGGTTTGAAGTCAGCCCAGGCAAATAGTTCACGAGACCCTATCTCGATAAACCCTTCACAAAATTAGGGCTGGTGGAGTGGCTCAAGGTGAAGGCTCTGAGTTCAAGCCCCAGTACCTCAAAAAAAAAAAAAAAAAAAAAGGGATTGGGGGGAAGAAATTCTGATGAATCTTAAATACAGTGCAAAAATCTGCTTACTTAAATAAAATCTTTAAGCTTTATCACTGATATTCATGCTTCCTTGGACCTCTTAGGGCCTGGAGTATTACAAAAAAGAATGTGAGCCCCAAATCAGTGGGGCACATGAAAGGTCCTCTGAGAGACCAGAGAGAGCCTGGGCTATTCCCCTGGCTCCCCTGGGTTGTGAACCCAGGGCTAGAAGCTCTGGCTTCTCCCCTGAGGATGGGTTCCTTTGGCAATAACACAATATTTGCCCCATTCCCATGGTGCTAAGTCTCCTCCCAGAGATCCAGACTACTCTGCTATTCTCCCCAAATCTACAATTTCCAGTCTGGCATTCAATCTTCTCAGCATGTTTTTCACAGACAGTGGCATCGGTTACAATTTGTAGGAGGCCAAAGAAACCTTTTAGGAGTAAGAGAAAAAGTAGCCTGCCTTCCAGGTGTCCACAGGCTTGCCTCAGGGCCAGGACATAAGCTCAAGGGCACCAAGGTCAGTCAGTAGGTTTGTCTTTCCCTCTCTCTGTCTTCCAACAGGATAACCCCTTTTCCCACCATTCCAGGCCTTTCATCAGCCACCCTTGAGTCACCCCCTCTCCTGCAGAATACTACTCCCTTCAAGGTTCACTATCAGTCCCAGGAAGGCTTTTTTGTTGTTGTTGAGACAGTCTGGCTATATAGCCCAGGTTGGCCTCAATCTTCCTCCCTCAGCCTCCCAAGTGCTGGAATTACTGGGCTATACCTCCATACTCAGCTGGAATGTTTGTAGTACTCTCCTCCTATGGCATGGCCTCAGCCACACTAGTATCCTAGCCATACCTCATGACCCTCGCTTGTATAATGAGGCATTTTTTCTGAGTATTTCATGTATGCTTTATATCCCCAGTTGTAGCCTTCATAGCCTGACTGTACCCAGAATCCTCAAACAACATCAATTTCTTAACTGGGGTCCATTTTAAAAATAGAAACAAATACTCACTAAATAAGTAAACAATCAAAAGAGAATTCTGTCTTCAAAAACCAAAACTGGCAACTTCCTGGGGTCAACAGAAATTACACTTAGTCATATTCCTCCTCATAAATTCAATCCTCTAGGCCTGCCCATTACCACCACCAACTGAGAGAAATCCCCAGGTTATACAAACAACTCACTCAAATTTTTAACTCTGTACTGGCGAAAGAGGAGAAAGCTTCATTTTAGAATTTCTCAAAGGTTGAAATAAAAAGGTTTTCAGATTACATTCTTAAACATCCTAAAAACTCATGTCAATCATTTTAATTCCACATAGAACTTTGTTAGTAAAGATTTGCTCAGGTTACATATCTCTAGCAAGGAGAGTATACTTGCTCTTTTTCTGTATATACACCTTAGTTTTTTTGTGTTTGGTGCTGGGACTGAACCCAGAGCCTCCCATGTGCTAAGTATATACTCTACCACTGAGAACTCACCTTTGTAGAAGGGACTGAACACAGGAGGCAGGACCCCTGACATCATCAGACTTTATAAGTGCCAATAAATACTAAAAGTAAGGCTTGTCCACCTTGAGGGGAGAATGGAGATGGGGTGAAGCTGAAAAGAAGAGGCAAGATGGATAGACATACTGGGGAGGTTCAGAAAGCAGCTCATGGGGAGGGGAATTTCAAAGTGATGCCATGGGCAGGGGACCAAGGAAGGAGCCCTACCATCCAGCTCCTTCTCAATGGAGTCCATCCGGTGTGTGACTTCATCCTGAAGGGACTCCACATGTGTCAGCAGGTTAAACTGCCACTGGTGCTGGGAACTCAGCAGCCCCTCTCCGCCTCTGTCAAGCAGTCTCCGAGTAGGGGATTCCTCCGGCAGGACCTTTTTGGAGATATAGTCCCTCACCTGGGAATGCAATGACATTTAAGTTACTGAATACAGAGAGCCCCCATCCACATTTCCAAATGTCCAGTGTTTTAAACTCTGAAAAACCAGCCTCCATCCCATGTGGATGTTGGGCGGAAGCCTGCCCACTGCACCAGAGCTGCCTTCTCAGGGCAGCATGAGCCTCTGGCTCAGGGGGCTTAACAGATGTCTCCCCCAGCTTGAAGAGCACCCTAGCCTTAAGTAGGCCTCCCAGTGCTCTGAGAGCTGCCTAGAGCAGGGCTAGTACGGATGTGGGTTAGGGTGTCTAGTCAGATAAATTTGGCAAGTCTTGCTAAACATGAGGTCCTGGTAAGTTACTTTTCCTCTTTGAGCCTCTGATGAGAAATGGAGGTGTTAAAATCTACTTTGAAGGTTCATGAGGATGAAACAGGATAAGGTATATAAAATAGTGCCAGCACACGGTCAGCTCATCTGCAGGGGAAAAGACTTATAATCCTGGTTGGGTATTTCCTAATTTTATATCATGTGCCAGACACCTCTAGGAAACTTGCCTGGTCCACAGGATTGCAAATCTTTACTGGGGTTTGGGGTCACAATCCTTCACTCATTCATTTGAAATGAAACAAATTCCAGCTAACATGGATTTAGTGTTGACTATGTGCAAAGTAATGTTCTGAGAGCTTTTCACACACATTGGATGTTGGGTGGATGCCTGCCCGTTATCCCAGTGGCCCATTCTACAGGTGAGGAAACAGGTCTGATCAGGAGGGGAAAGCAATCTACTCAGAACCACAAAGTGGATGGGCCCAGACTTGGAACTGGGTCTGTCTCAAAAGACTGTCCGTACCACTATGGCCCAACCCTGTTTAGACACTGTCAAGGGCACAGAATGAATGTGGTACAATCCCCATGCTGGATGGCACAGTTTAGGATGCCCCCACTTGGCAATATGCAGCAGTGTATTCAATACTGGTGATGCCAGCCAGTGGGATAAGGTCTGTGCAAGTAAGGGCAAGGGCAGAGGAGAGATGGAACCACACAAAGCCTCACTGACAAAGGAGGAAGAGGACAGGTACAGTGAGACTAGTGAAGAGTTAAAGACGGGATACTGGCAACTAGAGGGTGACACATGACTAGAACACTGAGATGGGCTCTTTGGAAAACTAAAAAGCAATTATTTTGATGAAATGGACCCTTCTTAAGACAGGACTGAAAAGTTAAGCCAAAATAAAGCTGTTATATAATTTTATTGAAAACATTATACCTAACAAAACACTTGACTCACTGTTCATGCTAATAATTAGCACCTAGATACAATTATAATGTAATGGTATTAAATGAAGAAAAGACAAATTTTTCTTAGTTTCATTTTTTCCAGTTACAATCAACCCTTCTCTCCTTGCTGCTTCTCACCTCTTCACCTCTTACCCCTGCTGACTATGCCATTTTGTGGGAGTTCCTGTAACCAATGATCTTTGACTTAAGTGGGCTTTGTATCATCCATTTTAACAGACCAAAAATCATTTATGACAAGCAAATTTAAATAAAGTTCTATTAAGAAATATCTTCCACAGAACATTTAACCCCAGGAAGAAAACTTAGAAGCACTCAACCTCTGAATGAAGACTATGTGCAAGCATACCACATACCTTTGGGGAACTGGGTTTGGGTTCACCATCCCCTCTGCTCCTGTCTTGGTCTAGAGGCCAGCCCAGGCGAGGGGAGAGGGAATCATCACCATTCTCACGGAGGGGATTGACTGCATCATCCAGAGCAGAGCCCCGTGTCTCCACCACCAGCTTCTGTTCCATAGCAGGGTAATAGGCTCGGGGTTTCTGGTAGCAGTGCTCGCTGGTGATATAGGACTCCTCCACAGACTGGGGCAAGGGCAGGGGCTTTTCCACAGCCCCATTCAAAGTTCTATAGCTTGGGGCTTCCTCCTTGCTCCTGGCGTCCATGACATGGATGTGTCTGGAATGAGTTCTCCCTTCCCCTGAGTGCTGTTTCCAAGGCTGGCACCACAGCTGTAGATCGGGGTGTTCCCTGCTTCTGTGAGGAAGATGGGAGGGGAAAACAGGGAAAGGGCTTTGAGTAAAGGACACTACAAAGCTCTTAATTTATAAACACTCTCCCAAGAGTGAGAACAGGTCACCTAGGCCATCTGGCCACACACCATACCATTTGCTGAGCAAAAAGCAATGTAAATAATCAGTCTCTTAGGAGAACCCCCACTGCAGGCACACTGTAAGTGGGACTGGACTTAGCCACTGAGCAGATCAGTCAATCAGCCCATCCAAACTTCCTCCTCCTGACACTGGGCTAGTCATCTGTTGGATACTTACACTGAGTTTCATAAAAATCAAGTGAGGTAATGTGAATGTAAGCACTTCAATGGTGGTAAAGGGCTCTTCAAATGTGTCTTACTAAAAATAACCAAAACAACACAGTCACAATCACCCTGGCATGCAAGGAGCATATGATTACCAATGAGCAATGATGACTGGGGTGGGAGGGGACATTTAACTATCATCTACAGATGGCCATTAATAATAAAGTATCTAAAAATTGTTCTAAAATCTTCTATTCTCACCACTCCAAAGAGAATAGTTTGTTATTAAAGAAAAGAACAGAGGTTCTTATCCTGTGTAGGTCCACACCTCTGAGACTCTGCTGCAAGCTGTGCTGACATACATGTGCTCAGAAAACTCTAGTTCTGAATAGAATTGTTCCCTCTTGAATTTCAATCCAACCAAAGAGCATTAATTTATTTGATCATAATCAATTGTAGAAAAGGAAAAAGAACAGAAAATACCATAGCACTATTCTAAGTAAGGGTAGGTATTTTGAGGATTTTTTTTTTTTTTTTTTTTTTTAGCAGCACTGGGGTTTGAACTCAGCACCTTACTAGGCAGGTGCCCTTACCACATGAGCCACTCCACCAGCCCTTTTTAGTGATTTTTTTTTTTTTTTTGAGATAGGGTCTCATGAACTATTTGCTCAGGGCTGGCTTTGAACTGCAATCCTTCTGATCTTTGCCTTCTGAGTAGCTAGAATTACAGGTGTGAGCCACCAGCACCTGGCTATTTTGTGAAATTTCAACTTCAGTTTTATGTATGTAATATGAAATATATTTCTTTAATGTAGAACATATGTTTTTTTAAGCTAAAAAGTCACTACATAATCCCAGCTGTGTACAGAAGAATAGGTAGGAGGATCACAGTCTATGGCCAGCCCTGGGCGAAAATACAAGCCCTATCTGAAAACTAACTAAAGCAAAATAGGACTGGGGGGCATGGCTTAAGTGGTACAGTGCCTGCCTAGTAAGCATAAGGCCCTGAGTTCAAACTCCAATACAAAAAATAAGCCACTATGTAAGCCAGGTGGTGTTGTGCACTCTTATAAACTCAGCACTTGGAAAGCTGAAACAGGAGGACTAAATTCCAGGCAAGCCTGAGGGATACATAGCAGACTCTAGTTCAACAAAACAAAACAGTCAAAAAAGTCACTACATAAACTTCACCTTTCAATTCTTCTTTACTACCAGAGCTTCCATTACAATTTATGATGATTAAACAAAAGGAAGAAAGGGAAAAAAACAATGTGATGCCAAACCAGCCCCACTCCAAAGCTGCAAACACTATACTTACTGCAAGATGCTCATCTTGAGCTGCAGGCCGTGTAGAACCTCAATCACTCTCTGCACATCGCCAAGAAGCTGGTGCGTGGCCACAATCTTCTTAGCATTCTGATGGGAGTAGTTCTCTTCTAGAAATGCTAGGCCATGCATATGTCCCCTGCTCAACCACTCCTTGTCATACCAGTACTTGAAGCCGGGCCTCTGACCTAAAGCAACGACATTAACAGAGTTAAACATGATGTGAAGGAAACCCAGGCCATCTCATTATTGCACAATTGTCACATGGACTTCTAGAAGGACAGATTACTGTGTTCATTTTGTTCTCTTACTCATCCAGCGTACATTTACTTGGCACCTAACTCTGCACTGAGCTCTCTACCTGGCACTGGGGATAAGATAGTGAATAGACATGTACACTTTCTGATCTCTTGGAACCAGTCAGACATGGAACATGAGCCTGGATTCTCTCCTTAAATTTAAATCATGTTTTTCCCTCTGCTACTTAAAATCTTTCACAACTTCTGCTCACACAGAAGAAAAGCCAAAGCCCACTCTGCCTACTGAGGCCCACAGGATCCTGCCCTCCTCTCCCCCAACCTCACTGTAGCCCCCCCCCCCCCCCCCCCCCCCCCCCCCCCCCCCCCCCCCCCCCCCCCCCCCCCCCCCCCCCCCCCTCCCCCCCCCCCCCCCCCCCCCCCCCCCCCCCCCCCCCCCCCCCCCCCCCCCCCCCCCCCCCCCCCCCCCCCCCCCCCCCCCCCCCCCCCCCCCCCCCCCCCCCCCCCCCCCCCCCCCCCCCCCCTCCCCCCCCCCCCCCCCCCCCCCCCCCCCCCCCCCCCCCCCCCCCCCCCCTCCCCCCCCCCCCCCCCCCCCCCCCCCCCCCCCCCACCCCCCCCCCCCCCCCCCCCCCCCCCCCCCCCCCCCCCCCCCCCCCCCCCCCCCCCCCCCCCCCCCCCCCCCCCCCCCCCCCCCCCCCCCCCCCCCCCCCCCCCCCCCCCCCCCCCCCCCCCCCCCCCCCCCCCCCCCCCCCCCCCCCCCCCCCCCCCCCCCCCCGCCCCCCCCCCCCCCCCCCCCCCCCCCCCCCCCCCCCCCCCCCCCCCCCCCCCCCCCCCCCCCCCCCCCCCCCCCCCCCCCCCCCCCCCCCCCCCCCCCCCCCCCCCCCCCCCCCCCCCCCCCCCCCCCCCCCCCCCCCCCCCCCCCCCCCCCCCCCCCCCCCCCCCCCCCCCCCCCCCCCCCCCCCCCCCCCCCCCCCCCCCCCCCCCCCCCCCCCCCCCCCCCCCCCCCCCCCCCCCCCCCCCCCCCCCCCCCCCCCCCCCCCCCCCCCCCCCCCCCCCCCCCCCCCCCCCCCCCCCCCCCCCCCCCCCCCCCCCCCCCCCCCCCCCCCCCCCCCCCCCCCCCCCCCCCCCCCCCCCCCCCCCCCCCCCCCCCCCCCCCCCCCCCCCCCCCCCCCCCCCCCCCCCCCCCCCCCCCCCCCCCCCCCCCCCCCCCCCCCCCCCCCTTTTATTGGAAGAAAAATATTACCTACCAAGGATTAGAATGATAAAATATAATAATGCTAGTAGCACACATGACATAGGATCTAGAGCAAAGTAAAAAAATTCTATGAGCAAATGTTAACTGGTATCATTAATAGCTGAAGCCAGAATTCATGTTTCCCAAACTCTCCTTTCCTTAGATAGTCCTGAGTTGGAATTGACCAAGGAAGAATTTTAAATAATGGTTTAGGAGGTGGGAATAAAGTAGCAACTGTTATGCTTAAAGTCTTTTGAAAAATCAAGATGAGAGACACAGAGGTGTCCAGTAGATCTGTAATTATGGTCTTGCTCTCTTCCCAGCTATTGGACAGGATGACCACCAGACACTTGATAGGTGATTGAAACACTGAGTAATACCTCTACATGGAGGTAAGTGTTCTCTATAACCATCTTCTACATAGCCCAACTTAATCAGCTTGGTTTCTCAGATTCCCTGCAAACCCTAAGGTGCCCACTGATGCCTGCTTCAGGAAGTATTGATTAGTGACTTGTTCTGTGATTCACCAGTTCTCCATCCTAAAACTTCACTTCCCCAACACCTTCCATATTGTGTAAATGAACATTACAAATATTAATATTATATATATGTTAAATAACCTTTCATCCTAAAGGATTCCTATAATAAGTCTCTTTATTCATAACATTCATGTGCTCTGTTTCTTTTGTTGAATCCCAACTAATAAAATTACTGACCATGGAACATGGATTGAGGAAATAGAACCTTTGAGGATAGGATAAAATAGTTGATTTTTTATGAAATTTATTTCTATATGATTATTCATTAGCTGGTTGCCAGTGGCTTATTCCTATAATTCTAGCACTTGGGGGACTGAGATCAGGAGGATCATGGTTCAAGGCCAGCCCCAGGCAAATAACTCATTAGACCCCCATCTGCAAAATAACCAGAGCAAAATGGACTGGAGGTGTGGCTCAAGCAGTAGCATGCCTGCCTTGCAAGCATGAAGTCCTAAGTTTAAAACCAGTTTCACAAAAAACAAATGTACATTTACATACAGTTGTAATAAGATAATGCATTTGGGTCTCATACCCCTTTTCACAATTTCCTTTCCAATGATAACTCTGCCAAATATAATTCAATATCATAACCATGGAATCTGCCTCAAGATAGCCAATAATATGCAGACTACATCATCACGACCAGGCTCCATCAGTTTCCTTTTTATAGCTACCATTTGTCAGAAATCATCAGGACATATTTGGTGCATCTAGTTCTGGGTTCCTTTTTCTTTACAGTAATAAATATGTCTATCTGTCTCCAAGAACCACACAGTCTGTTTTTTCTAACCAAAAATCAAATGGGCTGATTCCTCTTACTGTATTATTGTTTATCAAAATTACTTTTAGTTTAGTTTACTTTCTTTAAAATATTATCGTTCTATATCTATGAAACATTGCTGGTATTTCTATAAAGATTTATTATAAACCTTTATATCAATTTGAGAAGATTGACATATTTACTATGTTGAGTCTCCCAATCTGTGAACATGGTGTGTCTCTTCCATTTATTTAGATATTTTCAACTTCTTTCATCATCATTGCAATTTTCAGCATACAATTCTGCTACATGTCTGTTATATTTATCCCTAAGTATTTAATTTTTTTGAGTATTGTAAATGGTACATTTTTAAAATTTTGGCCCTGTGTGCTCATTGTTAATATACATAACAGTTAATCTTTTATGTTTCTTGAATCTGGCTACCTTGCTGAATCCATTTTCTTAGTTCTAAGAGTGCCCTTTAATTCACAAATTTGCAATATGATAAAATGTCCATTTTACTTAAGTTTAAGATGGCATGCTATGTAGCAATGGTAACTGGAACAATTGCAATGGTAGGACTGGGGGCATGAATCAAGTATGAGTCCTGTTTACCAAGTCAAGGCCCTGAGTTTAAACCCAGTATTGCCCCCCCAAAAAAAGTTGCAATGGAATGAAGAAACTGATACTCAAAAGACCAAGGATGAAAGAGGTCTCGGAAGAGATCACCCAGGATGAGGGATGGCATTTTGGACCCAGGAAATTTCTCTGATGCCATAATGTCACTTGCAATAAGTGTTGGCTGAAACCAGACGCCATCCATGGGAATAAAGGAAAAATTTCTTGAAAGGAAAAAACAGCCTTGAATATAAACATAAACTTTGAATAAGTATAAATCTTAAATTAAGTTAAATATTTAGCCAAAATCTCTGTTTTACACTAGGTGACTAAGTTTTTTATAAGTGAATAATATTGAGAATTTCTCCCCATGTGCAGAAATGGGAAATTCCAGAACAATGTTGATTCACTTATAAAAAAGTAAAGTTCCATTTTTACATTCTTCGAATTGTTAACTGTGAATTTTAACCCCTCAACATTTATACTTATTTACTTGTTTTAAATACCCACCTTATCTATAGTGAGGACAAGGGATCATACTGCTATACTCTTCACTTTAGCGAATTTTCATATCTTTTGCAGAGTTTGTCACAAAATAGACTAAATAATATTTTGTTGATATATATATATGAAACAACTGAGTGAATGAAATGTCTGCTAATTGACAATCATCAGTATCTATGGTAAAATTCTTTCATCAACCAACAGAGCAATTTTAGCGAGTATATTTTTTGTTCACAAGTGCACTTTATTTCTAAAGTAATTTAATCTCAGTTCTGAACTTCCTAGCTATTGGCCTATCAGAGATGCCATCTCAACCATTAGCAGGGCACTGTCTCTCCTTCCAGTGTCACGCTAGTATTCAGAAATGGATCCTCATCCTTGACATCATGATGATGGTCACTTTCCTTCCTCGTGGTTCAGGCTTTATGACAGTCCCTTGCTGTGTTCAGACCTCCTTATGAGCATGGAGATCTTGGGTGAAGGTGGACCATTTCTCTACTTGTACTCTTGTAACCATTTCTCTCTAGATGTTGCACAGGGGTCCAGGGCTTCTCCCTTCATCCACCAATCTCAGATACAAATTCTTCATCTGGAGAAAAATCATTTCATCCCCCACTTTCCACCCTCCTTTCTTCTTCTTCAGACCACCGTGCTGTGTCTTCAAACCCAATTCTTCTCAATAAATTTAAGCCTTGGAGAACAAAAGCCAGAAGTTATTTTGCTTCCCTCTTCATGTGGCCTTGTACTTTGCCCTAAGGCAACAAAGCAGAAAAAACTAATATTTACTTAAATGAGGAAATAGTAACAGGGTAAAGACTGAGAAGTAAAAAGTCATGCATGAGAACTAAAATTATCCTGTCTCAGAATCAATAAGAACAGTAAACTGATTGCTGCCTTTATGATAAAATTGAACTAATTATCTTTGAAAGATCCTAAAAGGTCTCCTTAAAGATGTGAGTTATGGAGGATGGGATGTAAGGGGTGAAATCATTTAGGCTGATACTTTTGAGGAGTTTACAATCAGATGGGTGCAAGGCTGCTTTCCCAAAGAGGCCTCAGTACTTATGACTGTGTTGCTTCTCAATTGAGGCCAAAATATCCAGCACTATTGCAAAAAGAAAAAAAACTCACCCTGCTAAAAGCACCCTGAGTCCTCCCACAGTAGTCCTTTATATCTTTCTAGAAATAAGGAGCATACTTTGCATAATCAGTGCACTAACCTTTGCATAGGAAGAAACCTATCTCAAAAGGCTGTTGCAGTATATGAAGGGACCATGCCACCAGCATCCATATTACAGTGGCCAGGGTGGCTTTGTCTAAAGTGTTTCTGAAGCAAGTGGGGCCTTCAATTTAGCAGGTCACTCTGGCATAAAGCCTGTGGCCTGTTATATACCTATTACATATTTTTAACTAGTGGAGTTTCCT